TGAACCTTGTGAGATATTATTAGATTTATGACTGAAAATACCATTAACAGCAAGAATACCCAAATGATGAAATAATGCATTTAAATCTGTATAAGTAATAACATAAGAACATGATATTTAATTATCTATGCTTATTTAGTTTAGATTTTTAGTTTTGTTCTAAGAAGGTTGCTTGTTCTGATCAGAAGTTAATGTTAATTGAATTAATGTGCTGATATAACGTTTCTTCCATCGTAAGCCTCAAGAACACTGAATCAAATAAGTTAGAGGCAAGATACAGGTTTCTTATTATTATTTGATAACAATTTCAATCTATTGTCAATTTTGAAGTGAAACTTGTGCAGAAAAGGCACAAAGTTGAATACAGAAGTTATCAAGTATCCATTCATTTAAAGGCGTTATCATAATGCAGGGTATAGTCCTCAAATCCTCTTGATTTACAAAGTTTAAATTTAAAATTAATAATTCAGATTTGATTTTTAAGCTCATCTACAGTAGGAACGTGCATATATGTAGTACAACTTTATTGATACCAAATTTGTTGTTTTTTTAATGTAATTATAAACTTTGATAAATTGTATGTTAATAAATTCTATATTAAAACTGTATAGACAGTCACATTGTAAACATATCTATATTCTTTAGTATGAAGTTATCTTGATGTAATATAATCTAGTGATCATTATTATCAGATTATCATAATTCATAATGATGATATGGCAATAACTATAATCTGCTAAATAGTTTATACTAACAATTTATCTTTATACTTTATAGCAAAAAGCTTTCTTAATGTAGAGTCACTTAGCTGGCTGTAAAAACAACTTACAAACATAGTGCTAGCCAGAAAGTGTTTTTTTAGCTTAATGGGTAAGTAAGCAGTGCTCTCATACTTAGTAGCAATCTTTTATTGAAATAGGGAAGACCTGGTACTCCAGGAAGGGATGGGGGGAAGGGTGTTAAGGGAGAACCTGCCATTGTTAGACCTGGTGAATATCTTGGTCCAAAAGGTAAGTCAAAAAAGGTTTATTAAATTTTTCTAGTTTTAGTGGTCTTATCCATCTAGTACTTTTACTTTAATATAAAGTCAGTATTTTCATAAATAGTTCTAGAAATTTGTTTGCTTGAGTCTATTCTGAATAAAATGATTATTTTTAGTTAAATACGTAATTTTCAAAAAGAGGGATTTAAATTCCCATCCAATTCTTGAATCTTGAGCTGAATTCTTAAAGTCTATTAGAAAAACATAGATAAAATAGGAGATAATATTGTTAGAAGAAAAAGTACTAAACAATTTTTAACCACTTTCATAATGTTTGGATGTTGTAATATTGTGACTTTTTTTCTGTATATATTTCCTTTTTGATGTTATTGTTTAATCTCTAATAAATAATATGTTTGAAAAAACCTCATTCTTTAATTGATTTTTGTTTCATCTGAAAATTAACATATTATCATATTATTATAATATTGTTAAAAATTATATGGCAGGTAAATTTCCATTCCTTCAAGATGTTCCCTTATGCAAGGTAATTTTCATAATTATTCAATCACTCAGTCACTGATTGGATCATTTATTTTGTAGGTGATAGAGGTGAACGTGGACCACCAGGACCTGGAGGATTTCCTGGACTAGATGGCCAACCTGGACCTCCTGGACCACCTGGTCAGCAAGGTATACCTGGGGTGAAAGGAGAAAAGGTTTGTTTTAAAATAGAACAATATCTATTATAATGATTACCTTTTATTGGCAAAGTTTCTAAGTATCTTTGGAAATTATTCATAATATGTTCTGACATATTATATATATACCTTTCTGTAAAATTCAACAATTAAGTACTAAGATTCCTAATTCAGCCCTAAGGAAGGAAAATCTGTCTTTTGAAAGTGCTTGGATTATAAGGTTTCTTATTTTATGATTCTGTGTAATTTCTTAGATATCATCTATGAATAAATGAGGCATAATTGTAAAGTGACATAGCTTGATAAATAATTCTGTGAGACAAACCTTACCCTGGCATAATATAAGAAGAAAAAATTTATGTAATACTTTATACAGTAATGTGACTTGGAAAAACAAATTAAGGTATTAAATGCATTTTTTTAAATTTTAGATCTAAAAACAATATATATACAAATATTTGGCTGAAAAGCATAGCAAGTTTAAGATTAGGTATAATTTTTCAAGAATAATGTTTTTCTGGTACCACAGCAGTAGCCTTCTAGTAGGATAGCATTAAGTCTTCAGATTTACAATACTAAAATCAGGGGTTTGATACCTCTCACCAAACACAGTAGATAGCTCAATGTGGCTTTGCTATAACAGAAACATACACACACACACACACATGCCACAGCAGTAAACTTCAGGGGTATAATACGAAAATCCAGCTTCTGTCCCCATAGCAGATACACCACAGATAACCAACTGTGCACTAGGTGAAACAAACAAATTAACTAAAGAATAACAAACTCACACTACAAGGTGACTTTGTATTATTTTATATATCATAATTTTAATGTTTTATTAATTTACTAGTTATTATGATTTGATAACTAAAATAAAATATTTGGATTTGTCAAACTATAGCTAAAGTCAAGAATGTATGTGTCCTTAGGGGAAATAAATGATTTTTGATGTTTTGGATGTGTTTGATGTAACAATGTTTATCATAACAGATGATATTACAAAAATACATTCAGCTGTTCTATGGTTCTGTTTTCATTCATGAAGTTAGGTGAACATATAGTTTAAAAAAATCAATTAAGACAAAAATAAGAAACCCTATAACCTGAGCGATTTCAATAGGTAGACCTTTATTCATCAAAGGTAAAGTGAATGAATTTATTTTCAATTGTTAAACAATTTGTTCATGATATTAAAGTCAGTGATAATATGACAACTGCCTTGTAGCTTAGTTCATTATTCTCTCTCTGAAAGTGCACGCATTGCTTTTTTACTCTTTCTTTATACCAAAACTGCAAATTCCAGCAAAAAAGAAATACAAGACTCAGTTTAGTCTTGAATCTGCTACTTTTCACTGAGTTAAATCAACTTCAAGAAACTTTACCCTTTCACAGTAACTTTGGATGATAACAAATTAAAGAACAAAGAACAGGTTTCTTGGGCAACCTACACAATCTCAATGTGAAGAACATACATTCAATAATACAAAAATTAATTGTTTATGAGTATGCATTTAATTTTTACAGTAAGCTTTACAAGTACTTTTTATGTTTATATGAAAACTCCATTGGGCAGTTAAACCTGTATTAGGACAACAATTTTAAGCATTATCAAATAGGTTTTATAAATATCCTACTTGTTGAAAATAAAACTTTTTTAATTAAAGGAATTATTTAGTTGATTACCAAAAAACATACACTTCCCTATCAAAATCTGTGTATTTATGAATAACATTTAAAATCCTTATTTGTAGAAGACTAATGTCAATTACAAACTTTCTGAATCAAGACTGTTTTAATATCGACACAGATTTAAAGACCTATAACTGGAATGGGCTTTATTCTTTTATTGCAATTTGCATTTTTCAAATTTTAAATTGTACTAGCAAATATAATGTAGAGTTAAATTTATTTCTTATTATAATGTTCTTCATTTTATAGCTCTTGATCTTGTACATTTAGCCATGCAAATTGAAAATTGCATGTGTATTATATGGCAACATTTATTTATTTGTGTTATACATTTTATTTTTTTTAAATCTTATTTATGTCTAAATATATTGTTGTAGTTATATCTTAGAGAGCTCTTTTTCTTTTATTCTTATTTTACTTTTCTATTTTAATATTTTATTGTTAATATTCAAATTTTAAAGATCCTAAATCTGTGTCTGTTAAAGTCACTGTTCAAAAGTGTTATGCTTGTGGTGTGCAGGAGTACCATCCATTTAATACCTTCTCATGTGTAGAATTTTCCAAAGTTTTTCCTTTATTCTAAGTCTTTGTTGTTTTTGCATAACACATGGTTAGAAAAGTCATTAAGCTGATGCCATTGTAGCTGTCTTTGTTCCTTTGTCATTCTATTGAAATCACTGCTGTTCTGCCTTTTTGGAAGCATGGTTGTAATACTGTATGCTGTGCAAGAATGTAGACAGCAGTGTCCTTTAGTGGTCAGTTAGGTTGTATCTCAAAGTTACAGCCTCCACCTATGTTTGAATTTGAATGACTAATCACATAGGTACTGCTAGTCACTATGGGTAAATCCAATATTTCCAGTTAAGTACGAAACATTAGATTTATACATTCATGTTCTGGATCTAGAGTGAATTGGTTAGTGCAAAGATATGTCGAAGGAAGAAGAAAGACAGTTTAATCGATTCACAAATCCAGTGAAAGGCAACCATACAGCATTTGAAAGCAAGTACACACATTGTGTTTTGTTTCTGAATAAATATAATTTGGTATTACACATGGGGTACATTATGTTTATTTCTCTGCTAGAACTCAGTTAGTTTTTGGTAAGTTCAGCATTACATGTGATATATCCTGGCAATCCTCCCATTATAAAGCAGACCTTCCTAATACTCTTTGACATGAAATTAAATGTGGGCAAACATTTTAGTATTTCTTCTTCTGATACAATGTAAAAATAATTTTTATTTACAATACTTGGAACATTTAATGACCATCTTATCAAAACAAGATCTTAAACAAATCTATTTACTTAAAACAGGATATGAAACCAACAAACCTAACTGATAAGTAGGCTCTCAACCATATTTAAGAAGTGAGCAGTATTTCTGTATGAATATATGTATAATTTCCATAAAAATAAGTGTATTTCTAAGTGTTGTGTAATTAAAGTTTTTAGGGCTCTCTTAAGTTTGTAAGGTTAGGCTTTTCATTGTGAGGGTAGAATATTCTAGCTAATATGTTGGCAAATGATTTTTAGGTGTATTGTTTATACATGTAATCAAACACTAGATAAATATGTTCAGTTTTATATCTTTTAAACATTTACATTAATTAGGGCTCACCAGGCTTCGTTGGACCTCCTGGAAGACCTGGAGCTGTGGGTCCAGCTGGTAATCTTGGCATGAAAGGTGAACCTGGAATTGGACGACCTGGTCTTCCTGGAGATAAGGGAGAGCTAGGAGAACCTGGAAGACCTGGACGTAGAGGACCCAGAGGTTTAAAAGGAGAGCAAGGTATTATTGTATACTTTGAATGATAACCTTGACACACTAAATCAAATTGTTGTAATTGTATGTATTTTGTTGAGAAAATTGGAGATCTTTTATTGCTAAAAATATTATGATGCAATGGTAAACCTACTGAAATATTGTATCTATATGTGTATATTTTATCCACTTAGTTTTAAGTGTATAAATAGGTCTTCTGTATTTTACTTGTGCTTCATATTGTTACGTCTCCGTTCGTTAATTGATTTTTCGTAAATTCGTTCTGACGAAACTTTAGCGACACAAGTCCTTACTTAATAAAACTGGTTTATTCTTTCTGAATATAACTTCATGATACACTTTCAACATTCGT